GACCTGTGGTCTGAACGTTGGGAGAATACATCTACGACACCATGAGGACCTTATGCCCTTTTTGGGGAGAAGGGGTTCTTTAGCAACTTTTGCTATTTCTTCCGTGGTGATTGGTCTGTTTACGTGTTTTCCATCTTGTCTGGAGTCAGTTGTGTAGATGTACTTGCCCAGAACGCCGTCTGTGCTTCACTCGGATTTTCCAGCGTGTTTAGACGGTGAGCTGAGCAGGGCGCCCTCACGACCCGCTCCTGTTCCTTCTCTCTACTTTCTCCTCCTCTTCCTTGGTTACCGCGCCTCATGGTGGGTCTATTTCCTTGCTTTATCTTCCCACCCTCCCGGCCTCCGCAATTCCGCAGCAGCTCCCCACTGCCTCTCTCAGGCCTCCCAGGACCCCTGCTCAACCCACTCACACCCTCGCTGTCGTCCCCTGCCCACGATCTCAGGTCCGCACCAACCACCTGGCTTCCACTCCCTCACAGCCCTCCCCAGGGGCCGGGCTGGCTAGGGAAAATGAGGGAGATCGGGGAGACATCTTACAGCCCCAGTCACCACTCCCCACATTCGCCCCAAGCAAGAGAAGTTTCTAGAATTCCTAGAACCTTGATCTACTGTTACGGCTGCAGGCCCACCAGGGAGTGATGGGCAGCACACCAGCAACTGCCCGACCCTGCTCACCTGCTGCCATCCGGCATCTAGGTCTTCAAACACCTGTGAACGCTCCTGTTTCTTAAATGTTGGCAGATAACTGAAAATCATTTAAACAAACAAAAATACTCTGCAGGACCCCCCCAAAAAAAGATCAGAAACACACCCACAGGCCATCTTAGGGCTGTCACCCCTCAATCAGGCCAACGGGCCGGACTCCCCATCCTCTGGGTGGGTGTGGACTCTCCCACCCTGGCCTTTCTCTCCGATGCTTCCTTCCACCTCACCCGCCTTCTCCCTGCAGATTTGCTGCCTAGGCCCAGCAAAAACAGCACGTCCCCCAGGAAGCCTTCCCAGACTTCTTCCCTCAGCTCAACAGTCCTCCCTAATCAAACAATAAGAGAGTGCATTCATCAAGCAGACTACATCGCAGACCTTGGGCAGGGGGTGCTATAGGTACAGAATCCTGATCCTCAAAGCCACCGTGAGACAAGAGGACAAGCTCTCCTGGCAGGCTGCCAGGTCGGAATCTGCACCCACCAGCCATGTGACCCTGGGCAAGGTGCTTCACCCCTGTGCATCCTCACCCCCACGGGCTTAGGCTCAAGACCAAATGACATGATGCGTGTGAAGTGCCCAACAAGGAGCCAGTGCCTAGCAAATGCTGACCAGGACCGTTAGAGCAGGGGTTCAGATAAGCGCAGGGGCTAACCCAGCGTCACACGGCCATGGAGCAAAAGGGCCGAGACTCTAACCGGGTCGGCGGCTCCAAGGCAGTTTCTTTCCTCTCCCACTCTTAGGACACTAGCACTTGCTTCCTCTAACTTCCATTGTAACAAATGAGTCCTATAACCCCAGGCGGGGGCAGGGGGGGGATCTCCCTGCCTTATTCACCCCTGCCGTCCCACCTGCCCCCCATACCCAGCAGACCTCAAGCTCCGGGAGGGCAGAGACTGGCTCCCAGCACAGACCCTGCACACCACAGCCCCAGGAATCCACGACTCTCTGACCGGCCCGACCCTGAGCTTCAAGACCGGGACCACATCTGATGCATCTCTGGGTTCACAGCATCGTCTGATACAAGGCTACCCGGGGCTCTGCATTCAGCATGAGACAGAAGCCGGTGTTCTGTGATCCCAAGGGCCAGGCACAGACAGAGCCAGGGACACTCCACCAAGGAGGACCCGGGTCTCAGGCTCCCCCCGGCAGCCTGGCAGAGCAGCACAGGCCCCTGGTCCACCCCCGCAGATTGGAGTTGGCTGGCTGCTCAGTGGCTGTGAGGTGATAGCGCTCTGTGCTCCAACAGGGCCACCGACACTATTAGTGTGACAGCCTGAACACCCTCAACCATCTCATGGTTCTGTGAAGCCTCCTGCCACCTGGATCTCAGCTCTCACCGCCTCACCGCCCGTGTCCCAGCCACCTGTGAAAGTCACACCCGAAGTAAGGGGCTGGGTCTTGGAGTCCCCTGAGCCAGCAGTGGCCCTGCATGTACGCCCCATCGGAGGGGGAGCCCAGAGTCCCCAACCCAATGACTGACACCTAAGAGGCCTTCAGAACAGCCTTTGTCTCCCCTAGACCCCAAACTTGACCAAAAGAAACAAGTCAACAGAAGTAGTGGCATTACGGTAAAGGGTCACACTCTGGAATCTCACACAGACCATTAGAGCATGAGCCTGGGGCTCAGTCCCACCCCCTAAAATGGGGGGGACCATCTCCATCCCAGAGCCTCCAAGGGCTTAGGACAAGGATCAGGCACAAGCCCAGGCGCCTGCCAAGGGCTCGGCAAGCGGGATCTGGAGTCTGTCTCCACCCAGAGGCCAGGGTCACTGCTGACTCCCTGGGGCCCCAACATCCCACACATGCCTCAGCGGAGGCGGCCTAGGGCAGCACCAGAGGACAAGGAGCAAGGTTTAAGGGGCTGTGAGAGGCGTCTGAGCACAGATGCCCGGAGGACTGTGTGCCCAGCAGTGACAGCCAAAGCCCCCGGGGCAGCTAGGCAGTTTGCTGGAGGCCAAGGGCCATAATTTTGCCACTGCCTGTCCCAAGCTCACCATCGTCCTCCCTGGAGTCCCAGGGTCCTCTTGGCCAATTCCTCTCCATCCTTCAAGACTCTGGACATGCCACCCCCTTCCCTGATCATCCTTCGCTGACCAGAAAACCTTCCCTCTAGGCTCTTATAGCTCCTAGGGGCTATTCTGGCAAAAACCCCCATCCCTCTGCCTGGTGCTTCTCCCCTACATATGTCTCCCCCATATGTCTCTGAGCTGCTCCAGGACAGGAATGGATGCCCAGCATTGCTGTGAGTCTGGCCCAGGAGAGCCTCAAGAAGTGTGCCAAGTGACCCTCCTCTCCAACTCCATAGCAGAGCACTGAGCCAGGACTGCTGTGTCCGTGTGCCCAACACAGGGCCGGGCAAATGGGGTGTACAGCCATCAGGATGGCCTAGGCTTATCCAGGGAATGACGGACTGTGCTGTCCATCTTAGGAACAGAGAAGGAAACTGAACCTGGGAAAGGGGAAGTAATGGGTCCAAGGTCACGGGGCTGGAAGAGCCTGGAGCCAAAGCCCAGCCTAGGAACGGCTGGCTAGAAAGCCTCTTCCACTCGCTTTACACCCATCTCTCTGCGCTCTGCTGGGCTCTAACGGGAAAGCGTTAAGACCCTTCCCACCAAGGTCAATACTATTATCGTCATTCCCGCTTTATCCAGGCAGAAACTGAGTGGTTCAAGTCACTTGTCTAAGTTCACAAAGGTATGAGATGTGCAGCTGGGATCCGAATCCACGCCTGTCTGACCCCAGAGCTCTCAGCTAACACGAAGCAACGCTGCTCATGGGCCAGGCATGGTGATAAATTGTCCCGTTCTTCAGCTCCGCCGAGGTGGGGGTTAAATCTGGAAGGCTTCCAGGAGGAAAAGGGCTAAGACATGAGCTAACACAAGTAGGAGTCTGATCTGAATGTTCTCTGGGGCTGAAGCAGAGGAACAGAGGAAACTGCAGCAGAGTCATGCAGGCCAATGCCAGCTGCATTTAGCCAAAGAGGCTTAGAGTCTTAGAAAGCAGATAAGCCAGGATCAACAGCAACTGTGCCTCCCCAGAGCCAAGCCAGATCCAACTCCCCACTGGATCCTCAGCACTGCCCAACACGGGGCCTGGCACCAGGAAGCCACAGGGAAAACACACACCAAGCCACTCCGCTCCTAAAACCCTGACCGCCCCCCTGGGGTGCCTTCCCTGGGTTCCCGCCGCCCCGTGGACCTCCTGATGAGGGCTCTGGTCACCGTGTGGGGACTCAGTGTCCGGGTCTGCCTCTCTGCCCACCGGCTCCAGGCCTGTCCCAGGCGGCCAGCACGGGCCCAGCACTCTAACAGCCTCTGTCCACACTCACTGCTGGTTCTCGTGTCTGGGTCACTTTTCCGTCTGATCACGCCATCCTGAACTTGCCTAACCCCGCAGGGCCAATGGCACTCATCTCCATGAACTGGGGTGTTGCCCCCTTTGGGGCCGGGCCTGGAGTGGGGGGTAAAAAAGCGCGGCTCGGCGCCCGGGAGGCCCGGGGGTCGCCATGGGCCCGGCCACCGTCCCCGCCCTGCCCCGCGGGCCACGCGGTGCCTGACCTTGGCCCAGTCACTTCCCCTCCGGCGCACGCGCTTCCTGCCCGCCGCCCGCGCCTCGGCGAATGAATGAGCCTCCCGCCGGCCGGAACACCCGTAATTACCGACCAAATCAAAGGCCGCACGCGGCCCGCCCGGGGCAGCAACGGGACCCGGGCTTCTTTGAAAAGGGGAAGGAGGGGATCAGGCCGGCGACAGGCACGGGCCCCCGGGGGCCGCCGTTTCCGGTCAGGCCGGCTTGGCCCGCGCAGCCCCCTCCCCCACCGGGGCCTCGACTTCCCCCGGGAGTCGCCACCACTTCCGGCCACGACCGACCGCGAAGGCTTGGAGTGACGGGCGCGCCACCCCCCGAGCCCCCGGCCCGAGCCCCCGGCGC